CCAGGCGGGCGCCCCCTGGTGGACAGTCCCAAGGCCGCAGCCTTCAGGCGGCCCCCCTGTGCATTCCTGGCCGGCCTGAAAAGGACAGAGCTGGCCAGCGGAGATTGCTCTTGGCCCCTGGGCTGTGGAATGCAAATTTTGAAATAAGAGCTACCAGATGTGAATACACACGATAAAGTGTGTATCAAGGTAGCAAAAGTCATGCCCCAGTCACGTGACGGGACCAGCCTGAGCCCCTTCCCGGCCCTCAGGGCCAATCCTTCCCTTCCCATCCTCCAGAGACCCAGGGGCCCTCTCCCTTCGGCCTCTTGCCAAGGGACCCTGGATCCTCCCCTCTGTGCCTGAGACCTGGAGCGGAACAGGACAGGAAACCTTCAGGCCACCCCCAACACCACAGGCGTGAACCAGACTCTCGGACCTCTTGAGGCAGGAGAATAGCAGAGGAATTCGGGGAGGCAAAGGGGACCCTTGGACGTAGGTTAGCTTAAGCAGTAGCAGAAGCAAAACGTGTCAGATGGCAGAAGCAGGACACGCGAAATAAGGGAGGAAGCAGTGAGGTGGAACATGTAGGATAAGGAAAATAAGCCAGAAGGACTCGCAGTAGCAGTTTGGTCACGAAAAATAAAGCTGAAGATGAGTAATTTGGTGAGAAGAGATAAAGTGAGATTAGGCAAGGATGAGCAACTAACCTACAAGAGATAAAGTGAGGTTAAGCAAGAGATGAAAAACATATAAAAAGGCCATGAAATGTACGGCCAGGCGCAGTGGCTCATGCCTGTAATCCCGGCACTTTGGGCGGCCGAGGCAGGCGGATCATTTGAGATCAGGAGTTCAAGACCAGTCTGGCCAACATGGTGAAACCCCGTCTCTACTAAAAACACACAAAAGTTAGACAGGCATGGTGGTGCATGCCTGTGATCCCAGCTACTCTAGAGGCTGAAGCAGGAGAATCACTTGAATCCGGGAGACGGAGGCTGCAGTGAGACAAGATCACACCACTGCACTCCAGCCTGGGCGACAAAGCAAGACTCCATCTCAAAAATAAAAAACAGGACGGCGCGGTGGCTCAGGCCTGTAATCCCAGCACTTTGGGAGGCCGAGACGGGTGGATCACGAGGTCAGGAGATCGAGACCATCCTGGCTAACATGGTGA